TTTGGTCATTTCCACCACAACATAATTATTACACTCCTTTAATACCATTTGACTTCTTTTAAACACTTGGTAATTAACCAATCCCATTAGGTAAATGACTAATTTACCCTTGGTGCACTTTTATGGATACTTAATTCATATGGATTTGTGTGAAAAGACCATTATACCCTTGGTTACCGTTTGCGCCATTTAATCATATCAATCAATTTTATGACCATTCTACCCTCATTTCTCTTCAATGACATCACCCCTTACACTTTATAATGACCACATCTCGAAATGCATGCAAATTGACCATTTTACCCTTCCATTAAAAAAAAAAAATTACCTGAAAAAGGTAAAATTTCATACCTTAGGGCATCGGAATAATAATACGAGGTTTACAATCAATTACCGTTTTTGGAAGTCTCAAGTACTTTCAGCTGTTGGAGCTCACGAATTAGAATATCTCCTTATAGGTTTGGTTTCTTGCCCTCCTCCTTCAATCAGTGTTGAAAGTATTGTTGTTAGTGAATCAGGAGAAATTAGTTCAAAAGATACCTTGATTAAAGAAATAGTGAATCCAGACTATGTTGCATGGAAAAGAACTAATAAATTTTTGGTAACTTGGCTGTTAGCTTCAATATCTAAGTGTATGTTTACGTATGTATCGAAATGCCAGTCTTCAACTGCTATTTGGTTAACCCTTGAGAATGAATTCTTGAATGATTCAAAAGCAAGAGCTCTGCATCTAAAAAACTTACTGCAAAATACACAAAAAGGAAACTTAAGTGTTAGTGAATACGTTAAGAAAATGAAAGGAATAGCTTAGAATTTGTCAACTAGTGGGCTGCCAATTTTTGATGAAGATCTGCTTCAATATATCCTTGATGGTCTAGGACCAGAGTTCAAAGCTGTTGCAGTTAATTTGACATCTAGGATTGAGTCCAAATTTAACCCAGTTACTGTTCAAGAAGCATAGTACTTACTTCAAAAGTTTGAGATGAGAATTGAAAGTTTAATTCTGTAGACTTTTAACATAACTCTGTTCATCTTGCTTCCATTACTAATCCAAGACAACAGTTGATCAGTCCAAATGTAGCCTATAATCCAGCACTCTCTCCTAACCTAACACTTCAATCTACTACACCACACTCTTATCTTATTGGTACTCATCCTCTTGCCAATTCACTATCTCATCAACAGTATCTCCTGTAACCTCAGATTGCTTATCCAGAAACCAGACCATAACGTCCTTTTAATAACTCCACTGATCACTACACTTACTCAGCTCACATAGGGTAATATAAAGATCCATTTTCACCAAATAATTCATCTGGTTTGAATCAATTTGGAAGAGGCAGAGGAAGATGTACTAATAGAAAGGGAAGACTAGTTTGTCAAGTGTGTAATAAGATTGGACATACTACAATCCAATGCTACAAGAGGTCACATTGGACAACCAACTGGTCCTATCACTCATTTTCAGCAACCCAATACCCCATTTGGTCATTAGCCGAATAATCAAATTTAACCACATAGTGTATCTCTTGGTCCTCCTGTTGCCAATAATATGCAGTCTCAATTTGCTTATCATTCTCAGCAAACACAATACTCTGCTCCTTCTACTTATGTAACTTATCAGGAGCACATTTGACCACCAGAGTTCTGTAACAACTTTTAGTCACAACAGCCCTTTGCTGCACTATCAGGAATAAATTCGATTGGTTCCTCATACTCTGCTCCTGTCACACAAGGCTTTAAAGTTCCTAGTCAACAACCTAGTGGTTCCAGTTAAGCCTATCTGGTTGCAAATCATAACTTCTTTGGTCCTGTTAACAAAGAAGGCTCCCTGACTGTTTCTCCAGCCAGTTGCTAAGATCTTGCTTGGTACATGAACTCAGGCACAACTAATCATGTCACAGTTGACCTAAGCCACCTTAACATCAACCACAACTATGATGGAGCTTAGCAACTTCAAGTAGGTAGTGGTGAGTTCTTTCCTATCTCTTATGTAGGCCTTACTCTCTTACCTAGTACTCTTAAATCTAAATGTCTTTACCTAAAAAATGTGTTGTGTGTGCCTAGAATTACAAAAAATTACTCAATATATCTAAATTTACTAAGGATAACTATGTTGTGGTTGAGTTTTCTACTAATTGCTGTGTGGTAAAGGGTAAAATTACAAATACAGTTCTACTACAGGGAGAACTTAAAGCTGGATTGTACCAATTGAATCTATCTTTTGTCCTACCTTCCAAATCACCAAAAGTTTGCTCACCTTCTATTTTTCCTCAACTACCAGCCTCTTCTGTTTCCAAGACTTATACTAGTGTTACTAAGCCAAATTGTCCAGCATCTAGTTCACTATTAGCTTATACCACTTTAAACAAGTCCAATAATGTTGAGTCTAGTTACTTTGATGATAATTCTAGTTTTAATGTTACTCATAAATCTACATCTGTTGTGCCTATTGAATTAGATGTGTTAGTTTGTAATGTCACTGCATCCTACTCAAGCACTTGTAATTAAGATTCTCTTAATAAAAACTTGGATATTTCTGCTTGTGTAAAAGACAGTTCTTCAATGTTGCATCATAATAATGCTGATTGTTCACAAACATCTGATATTTTTGAACATAGTAGTATTAGATATGTGCATAACTACTTGCATCTTACTTCAGCATTGATCACTCACACTAATTCTCCCCATGATTTTATCCTTATGGCTTGGCATAGTAGACTAGGTCACCCACATGCTGAAATTCTTCGAAAAATTCTACTACAAGTACCCAATTTGTCATTGTCTAGAAATAAATCTTCCATTTCATTTTGTGACTCTTGTCAATTAGGAAAACTTCATAAAAACCATTTCCCTAGCTCACACTCAAGAGCTACAGCTCTACTTGAACTTATTCACAGTGGTATTTAGGGGCTTGCTCCTGTGTTGTACTTAGAAGGTTTTAGATATTACGTACAATTCATTGATGACTTTAGTCAATTCACCTGACTCTTTCTATTACGAAACAAAGCTGAAGTAGCTTATGTTTTTATCAAATTTCATCACCTAGTAGAGAGAAAATTCAATCAAAAGCTTAAGTGCCTACAATCTGATCAAGGGAGTGAATATAGAGGTTTAATTTCATACTTAACAAATGCTGGAATTCAGTTTAGACATTCATGTGCTTATGTGCACCAACAAAATGGTAGGAGTGAGAGGAAACATAGGCATGTAGTTGAGACATGATTAACTTTGTTAGCTCATGCATCTATGCCCATGCATCTTTGGTGGTGTGCATTTGACACAGCAGTCTTCTTAATAAATAGAATGCCTTCACCTATGTTAAACTTTGTTTCACCTTATCAAGCTTTATTTGGTCGAGTTCCTCTTTATTATTCCTTGAAAATTTTTGGTTGTGCATATTTCCCTTACTTGCGTGACTTTAATCATCATAAATTTAGTTTCCATTCTTCAAAATGTGTTTTTGTAGGTTATAGTCTAGTTCACAAGGGCTATAAGTGTTTTTCTTCCAATGGAAAATTTCCATTACACCTAATGTTAAATTCAATGAAAATGAGTTCCCTTATATGAGTATTTTTAGCCCTCCAGTTTCTTCTTCTTTACCTACTACTATCATAGAACCTAGCTCATCAACTTTTCTTTTTGTCTCTCATTCACAACCTCCAGTATCTAGGAATCATGCTATGTCCAGCTACATTCCTAATCCTACACCCTCCAAACCTTATTCTCAATCTAAACACACTAATGCAAATTCTTGCACCAACTCAATTCTAGCTAAAGTTTCACCCTCCAAACCTCATTCTCAATCTAAACACACTAACATAGATCCTTGCACCAACTCAATTCCAACTGAAGTTTCTCTTACAGCAACCTGTCCTGTAATCAGTCCTTCTCCAATCATTAGTAAGTATAATTCTTCCACAACATCTGATATCACTACTCCATTGTCATCTCCATCAGATTTACAACCTACACCTTCAACATCTCCATCCTACCATCTTGAAATTGACCTAACAGATGCCTAGTTTATTAACTCTTCTTACTCGCACATATTGGAACTCCACCATCCTGCCATCTTGAGGTTGATTTGTTTCCATCACAATTTCCTCATTCCTCACAACCTCCTTCTTTACGTACAGACACTCACCCTATGGTGACTAGAGCTAAAGTTGCTTAAACCAAAACTACCTTCGTTACATCCAATGAACCCTCTATTCAACCTGAACATGTGTATGTTAAAGATGCCTTAGCTAGTATGAATGGAGAGCAGCCATGAAAGTCGAGCTTGATGCTCTTGAAAGGAACCAAACTTAGACCCTTGTTCCGGCCACTTCCGATATGAATATAGTGGGGAATAAATGGGTTTTTAGAAGAAAATTCGATGCAGATGGCTCACTTCAGAAGTTTAAAACCAGGCTTGTGGCCAAAAGGCTTCAACAAACCTTTGGCCTAGACTATTTTAAGACATTCAGCCCTATTGTGAAGCCATCCACCATTAAAATTATCATTACACTTGATGTTTCTAATGGGTGGGACATACAACAAATCGATATCAATAATGCCTTCTTAAATGGCACCTTTAGTGAAGTTGTTTTTATGAAGCAACTAGAGGGCTTTGTTGGTTCTCATCCCCCTAACTTTGTATGCAAACTAAATAAAGCCCTTTGTGGTCTCAAACAAGCACTAAGGGCTTGGTTTGACAAGTTGAAGAAGCTCTTTTAAGTAGAGGTTTTCAGAATTCCATTTCAGATACTAGTTTGTTAACTTTCCATCATGATGGCCATATGATCTATCCCCTCATATACGTAGATGATATCTTGATTACTAGCAGCCACACATAGTTTATACATCAATTGATTCAGGATCTGAACAATCAATTTTCTCTAAAAGCTCTTGGTACAGTTAAGTATTTTCTTGGTATTGAAGCTTCTCAAATAGCTCAAGGTCTACACCTTAAGCAAACCAAATATGTTTTAGACTTGCTAGTTAAAAAAAAAAAGATGTCTGAAGCTCATCCATGTCCCTCACTGATGGCTGTTGGCACCAAACTTTGCTCCAATGACAGTGAGATTTTTAAAGATCATACTCTTTATAGAAGAACCATTGGGGTCTTACAATACTTAACACTCACTAGGCCTGACATAAGTTTCATTGTCAACAAGCTCAGTCAGTTCCTTCAAGCCCCTATTGAACTTCAATGGCAAGCTTGTAAAAGGGTACTTAGATATCTCAAGGGCACTCAAGATCATGGTTTACTTTTTAAACTAGTAGCCTTCCTAAGTGTTGAATGCTATACTGATGTTGATTGGGGTAGTAATCTTGATGATAGATGGTTTGCAAGTGGTTATTGTGTATATTTAGGACTAAATCTCATTCAATGGAGCTTTAAAAAACAAAAAGTAGTGGCTTTATCCTCCATTGAAGCTGAATCCAGGGCTTTGGCTCAAACAGCCACTGAAATTGCCTTTTCAGAGCAAGTATTTGGAGCTAAAATTATATCTTAATGCATCCCCTGTTATATGGTGCGATAATCTTAGTGCAGGGGCCTTGGCTGCAAACCTTGTCTTCCATGCACGCACCAAGCATATTGAGTTGGATGCTCATTACATTTAGGACCAGGTTATTGCTAAAAAACTGGTTGTGCAATATGTTCCTTCTTAATTGCAAATTGCTAACATACTCACCAAACCTTTATCCATTACTCAATTTCAGACTTTAAAGACCAAACTGAATATGGTTGATGTTAATAGCATTCATTAGTGCTTATCTAATTAAGTGTAGGATGAGTTTGATAAATCAGATAAAGTGTCCAAAACATCGTCCAACTACAATCTAATTGGCATAACATCTCCATATGCACACATACACAATCCACACCCATTAAACAATCCATAACCAAAACATAGCATCACACTCAAATTAAACATAAAAAGATGTAATTCATCAACCCTAGGTGTTATCAATGTGAGTCATAAGGGAGTTTTTTCCTTACCTTAGTTTCAAAGCACAAAGACATTCCTCCTTAGCTCCAAAGGTTCACCCTTTCTACTTACACACATAACCCCTTATGAATTTCTCTATAAACTAGAAAAAAACAACAAACTGGTGTTTAAAACTTAGCTTAAACCCTGAAATTGAAGTTCAAAGTGTGGATGGTGATCTCCTTCGAAATTCAACTTGAAATCCTATGAAAATTTGAGAAGAAAATGCTTGGATTAGTGGCTTTAAGGTGGATTTGAGAGAGGAAGAAGAAGAAGATGCATTTGGGTGTACAAGGACCTCTCTCTTAAAACCTTGTAGATATTATTCATTGCTACTCTATTATGATTGGTCATAAAAGTTAGATATAGGGTCATTGGCATAAATTTTTCATATAAGGGCGTTTGGTCATTTCCCACAACAACTAATTTACACTCCTTTAATCCATTTGACTTCTTTTAAACACTTGGTAGTTAACCAATCCCATTAGGTAAATGACTAATTTACCCTGTGGCACTTTTATGGATACTTAATTCATATGGTTTGTGTGAAAAGGCATTATACCCTGGTTACCGTTTCGCCATTTAATCATATCAATCAATTTAGACTATTCTACCCTCATTTCTCCAATGACATCACCCCTTCCACTTATAATGACCACATCTCAAATGCATGCAAATTGACCATTTTACTTCCATTAAAAAAAAATTACCTAAAAAGGTAAAATTTCATACTTAGGGCATTGGAATAAAACGCGAGGTTACAATCAATTACCGTTTTTGGATCTCAGTACTTTCAGCCGTTGGAGCTCACGAATTAGAATATCTTATAGGTTTGGTTTCTGCCTCCCTCCTTCAATCGTGTTGAAGTATTGTGTTAGTGAATCAGGAGAAATTAGTTCAAAGATACCTTGATTAAAGAAATAGTGAATCCAACTATGTGCATGGAAAAGAACTAATAAATTTTGGTAACTTGGCTGTTGCTTCAAAATCTATGTGATGTTTACGTATGTATCGAAATGCCAGTTCAACTGCTATTTGGTTAACCCTTGAGAATGAATTCTTGAATGATTCAAAAGCAAGAGCTCTGCATCTAAAAACTTACTGCAAAATACACAAAAGGAAACTTAGTGTTAGTGAACGTTAGAAAAATGAAAGGAATAGCTTAGAATTTGTCACAGTGGGCTGCCAATTTTGATGAAGATCTGCTTCAATATATCCTTAATGGTCTAGGACTAGAGTCAAATTTAAATCAGTTACTCTTCAAGAGCACAATACTTACTTCAAAAGTTTGAGATATGAGAATTGAAGTTTAATTCTGTAGACTTTTAACATAACTCTGTTCATCTGCTTCCATTACTAATCCAAGACACAGTTGATCAGTCCAAATGTAGCTTATAATCCAGCACTCTCCTACCTAACACTTCAATCTACTACACCACACTCTATATTATTGGTACTCATCCTCTTGCCAATTCACTATCCATCAACATACTCTTGTAACCCAGATTGCTTATCCAGAAACCAGACCATAACTCCTTTTAATAACTCCACTGATCACTACATTACTCAGCTCACATAGGGAATATAAAGATCCATTTTCACCAAATAATTCATCTGGTTTAATCAATTTGGAAGAGGCAGAGGAAGAGTACTAATAGAAGGGAAGACTAGTTTGTCAAGTGGGTAATAAGATTGGATACTACAATCCAATGCTTACAAGAGGCCACATTGGACAACCAATGGTCATCACTCATTTCAGCAACCCAATACCCCATTTGGTCATTAGCCGATAATCAAATTTAACCACATAGTGTATCTTGGTCCTTGTTGATATGCAATCTAATTGTTCATTATTCTCAACAACACAATACTCTGTTCTTTTACTTATGTAACTTATCATGAGCACATTTGACCACCAGAGTTTTGTAACAACTTTTAGTCACAACAGCCCTTTGCTGCACCATCAGGAATAATTCGATTGGTTCCTCATACTCTGCTCCTGTCACACAAGGCTTTAAAGTTCCTAGTCAACAACCTAGTGGTTCTAGTCAAGCCTATCTGGTTGCAAATCATAACTTCTTTGGTCCTGTTAACAAAGGAGGCTTCTGACTGTTTTCTAGCCAGTTGTAAGATGCTTGGTACATGACTAGGCACAACTATCATGTCACAGTTGACCTAAGCACCCTTAACATAAAAACAATATGATGGAGCTTAGCAACTTCAAGTAGATAGTGGTGAGTCTTTCTATCTCTTATGAGGCCTTACTCTCTACCTAGTACTCTTAAATCTAAATGTCTTTACCTAAAAATGTGTTGTGTGTGCCTAGAATTACAAAAAAATTACTCCATATATCTAATTTACTAAGGATAACTATGTTGTGGTTGAGTTTTCTACTAGTTGTATGTGGTAAAGGATAAATACAAATAACGTTCTACTGCAGGGAGAACTTAAAGTGGATACCAATTGAATCCTTTTGTCCACCTTCCAAATCACCAAAAGTTTGTCACCTTCTCTTCTCCTCAACTACCAGCTCTTTTGTTTCCAAGACTTATACTAGTGTTACTAAGCCAAATTGTCCAGCATCTAGTTCATATTAGCTTTACCACTTTAAACAAGCAATAAGTGAGTCTAGTTACTTGATGATATTCAGTTTTAATGTTACTTATATATCTACATCTGTTGTGCCATTTAATCAGATGTGTTAGTTTGTAATGTCACTGCACCTCTCAAGCACTTGTAATTAGATTCTCTTAATAAAAACTTGGATATTTCTGCTGTGTAAAAGACAGTTCTCAATGTTGATCATAATAATGCTGATTGTTCACAAACATTGATATTTTTGAACATAGTAGTATTAGATATGTGCATAACTACTTGCATCTTACTTCGCATTGATCACTCACACTAATTCTCCCCATGATTTTTCCTTATGGCTTGGCATAGTAGAATAGGTCACCCACATGCTGAAATTTTCGAAAAATTCTACTACAAGTACCCAATTTGTCATTGTCTAGAAATAATTCCATTTCATTTGTGACTCTTGTCAATTAGGAAAACTTCATAAAAACCATTCCTAGCTCACACTCAAGAGCTCACAGCTCTATGAACTTATTCACAGTGGTATTTAGGGGCTTGCTCCTGTGTTGTACTTAGAAGGTTTTAGATATTACGTACAATTCATTGATGACTTTAGTCAATTCACCTGACTCTTTCTATCAAACAAAGCGAGTAGCTTATGTTTTTATCAAATTTCATCACCTAGTAGAGAGAAAATTAATCAAAAGCTTAAGTGCCTACAATCTGATCAAGGGAGTGAATATAGAGGTTTAATTTCATACTTAACAATGCTGGAATTCAAGTTTAGACATTCATGTGCTTATGTGCACCAACAAAATGGTAGGAGTGGAGGAAACATAGGCATGTAGTTGAGACAGATAACTTTGTTAGCTCATGCATCTATGCCCAGCATCTTGGGTGGTGTGCATTTGACAAGCAGTCTTCTTAATAAATCGGTTGGCCTAAAGCTCGTTACATGGGTCCTCTAGAAAGCTTAAGAAGTCATTACATAGATCATGAGCTTTATAAAAAAGAAATAAAGAAATAAATAGTTTAAGTCTTGATTTGTAGCCTAGTTGGTTCGGATGAGTAAGTTCGAGGAGTGTTCTACACTTAGTGCCCTATAGCCATCTGGTTTGGGAGTCATTGACCTAAAGCCCATTATACGGACCTTCTAGAAAGCTTAAGAAGTTAAGACAAGAAAAAAAAAGTGATGAATGAAAAGAAATTATATGTCAAAATCTTGTGTGGAAAATGAGCATTATGTTGCATGTACAGAAGTTGGGAAGTTTTGCATGACATTTTAACATTGTGATATGAATATGAAATGTGTGTTTGAGAAGCTTGAATGGAAATAGGCAAATCTTGACAGAAACTTTAGGGTTTAGGGTTTACCTAGAGTGTCGGAAAGCAATTTCATTGATTTACCTTGCCTTGTAGGTTTAGGGGATCGTAGAGGGTGGAGGAGAATTGTGTGAGTTGGTCTCGTGTCGAACCAAAACAGTAGCGGCAACGTTTTTATTATAAAGTCTTCATTAGTTTTAATTTCACGCTTTTATTATTTGCATTTAGTTTGTTTAGTTTAATTAATCAAATTGCCGATTTCATTTCCCCTACTCAAATATACATTAGGTTGTTAGTCCCGCTCTTTGTGGATTCGACCTTGCTTACTGCTAACTACGGTATTTAAGTTTAATTTTGTGACTGTGATGATCGGTTCGACAGTACCCTTAGCCAATTGCACAATTCATCAATCAATTTAGCAAAACTCTATGACATAAATATTTTCCTATTAAATTCATTAACTTAATTCATTTGATTTCTCATACAAGACCAGGAATTTCAACATTAAGATTATTCAGTGATTTATTAGAAATTATAAAAAAGATGGGAATTTTACTTAAGGAGGTGGATGCCATACAATTAGTCACTATTCAAGCAATTTTTTCCTCATCTTCCAATTCCAA